TTACAAAGATAGTATAAATTATATAATATTACACAATCAATTTTCATCTAATAAAATTCGTTAAAACTTATTGTACACTTCCCTGACACAGGTCATGGGAAAATTTTTAATAATATTAAATACATTAATTTTTTATAGATTTTTAATTCTAAAATTTTCAAAAAGTTACATATTGATTGACACCCAATTTTTTTTATTTGAAAAATTATATCAATTAAATTTATTGACACTAATTAATATCGCGTAGGATATTCTTTGGCTTTAACTACAACTTGAATACGTCAGCCCATACTTTCAATCAAATTTTGATAAATTGCAACATCTAATTTAATCCATTCCTCTTGCAATAAATCAAATAATTCTGTCTCATTTTTTGGCAAAGGAACATACTTACGAATATAACATTCTAATTTATCCCAAATATTTTCAATAGGATTGAGATCAGCAGACCAAAAAAGTTGATTAATATTATTTTGTGAGATCCATTATAAAGTTGTAGTTGCTCAATGAATTGAAGCATTATCTTATTGAAATATATAATTATTTTGATTATCTATTCCTTTTAAATAAGATAACAAATGGTTATTTAAGATATTAATATAATCTTTTGCATTTTGTCTACCATGAACACAGACTAAAGGACCCAATCCAAATTAACTAAAATATCCCCAAACCATTACACCCTTACGACCTGATTTAAATGTTAGAACCAAACAATCAACATTATATTTTTCTTTAAGTTTCTTCCAAACATAATCACAACCATCCTTTCCAAATACTTCAAACTGTGATTCATCACTCCAAACAATGAACTTCCATTCTTCATTCCAGTTGAGTCATTCTTGTGTCCAGTCCAAACATATTTTGCAATTCCTTTCATTTACAAAAGGTTTTCTTTTACCAACCCGACCATAAAATCCCTTCTCATGAAGATATCGTTATATAGTACGTGAGAAAACATTAGTAGAAATTGATTTGATAAATTTATTGGTTAAAACATTTAGGGAAGACTTTCTATCTTTTTTAATAAATGAATAAGATGGCATATATCTCTTTTAGTTAGTTTAGGTTGTGATCCAGGTTGTGGAGAAGGTTTTATTGCATCAGTTTCTTTATAAAATTTAAATAATCCTATAGACAGTACTTTTTTCAAATTTTAGAGTTTTTATAATAGTAGGAACCGGCACACCACACTTCCAAGCACTGATAATTTGGTTCCTTTCTTCGTCTGTTAGTTCTCGTCGATTTTCATTCATAATAAATAAAAAAAGGAAGGAAAAAAAAAACTCTTATTATTGTTGATCATCTATAATTTTAAAAAATTCCCGTGACCCGTGTGTACACCCCCAGTGCAGGTTAAACATCTACACCTCCGGTGTAGGTTAAGGATGCCCCATTTTTAACGGTTGTGAAGAAATTGATTAAGTCACGTGGGAGGTTGAAATTTTAGAAATTTCTAATCGCTTGATAAATTAGGAAAAAGCACTTAGAAATCGGTAATTTTCACGGGACCGTTAATTTGTTCAAATATCACATTATCATAAGAAAGTAAGGATAAAAAGCCAGTAAAAAAAAAAATAATAATAATCTCTAAAAACAGGCAAATTTATTAGTACGTTACGCGTGCATTACTATCATTTTTTATAACAAGATAAAATTTTTTTCTTTTTTGTTTAATCAAATTAAAAATAATAAATAAAACATTATAAATGAGGAGGAAAAAATATTTCAATCTATGTTATTCTATTCTGTGGTGAATAACTCTGATGTATGTATGCATAAGATGATGAGTAAATCTAAAAAAAATTGTTCATTAAAAATTTAATCCTTTCGATTCTAATTTTTTTTATCTCTTTGAGCAATATCCTTAGGCTTATTATTTGCAAATAAATATTCGCAAACTAATTCAATCAACCACGCAACGCAATAATCAATTATCATAGTATTCACAAGTTTAAATTTAAACTATAAAAAGCAAAATATATAAATAAATTAGCAATTATTATTTACAAAACAAAAAAAAAAAAAAAGAAAATATTATAATAAATACTTCATTCGAAAGAGGAACCAGTTGTAAAAGACTATTTATTTCGGGAACTATTTCCAAGGCTCCAGCAAAAGCAATTCCTGCAACTGAAACTAAACCATAAAAAAGTGCTTTGTTCTCTCTCAGACTCTCTCTGAAAGGATGTCCCTATTTGATTTATTATAATAAGTATAATATTTAATTAGTGTATTTTCTAAATTAATTATATCTTACAAAAATAAATTAATTATACCTGAAAATTGATGGCAAATGTTGAAACTTGCATAGACAACGATATCAAATATACTGCCGTGTTTAATAAACTTGGTTCGAATTCGCCTTCTAAATCAACAGGTTTCTTTCTAATGAATTAAAGAAATATATAAGTTAAAGAGAATAAAATTTATTAAGAATCAAGGATTAACTATATTATTAGATGTTTATACATACTCCTCGTGTTTAAATACTAAATCGACTATATAAATTAATGAAGCAATATGAATTGCAAATTGGCCCAATATGGAAAAGATTATATAGAAATTAAAGATATTGGTTTGTGGTCGTCGTTTGCTAAGTTTCTCCAAGGGCTAAAAATAAAGTAAGATAGATAATTTTAGTAAAAGACATTATAAACTCGTAATCATATAATAAGTATAAACTAACCTTAGCCTTAGAAATACAAAGAAAACAAACGGCAAGTAACATTCCAGAAATGGTTGCTTGACTGATGATATCAAAAATTATTAGATATTACAAATGATTATAAAAAAAATTAATGAATGAATAAAATGAATAAATAACTTACGCATCACCATATTTAATTCCATCTAAATATAATACACTAAGACTATAGGCCGAAATTAAGCAATTCAGGGCCAAAATTTTGTACATCTGTATAGTTGCGACAAGTGTACATCGACCTTGACGTATAATATTTGCGACTGAAAAATGAAAAAAAAAGTTGGTTGATATTTATTATTGACCGTTTAAATATATGCAAACTTGATCCTTACTGGCAGAAACGTTTGAAAGTTTCGAAGTAAAATGAGAAGCAACAGATGCATCTCCAAATTTAATGCTTGGAGGTTCATCATCAAAGTCTTGTAGTAATTGTTCGGCAATTTGATCAACCCGTGGTGCATGTCTCGCTGGATTATTTTGTTGTTGTTGTTGCTGAGTAATATGTGGAAATAAGTGAGCAATGGCTGGTGGTGGCGGTGGCGGTGGCATATTGAATCGTGCAGTGAATTTCAGTTGATTCTCATACATATCCTTAAGTGTAATCATACGTCGACGTTCGGCGATTTTTTTAAGATCTTCTGGCGTGCCGTTAAGCAAGGCAACACCTACATGAGCCTGTTTTAAAGCACCCACATCATTTGTACCATCACCGACCATCAATGTTGTGTACCCAGCTTTTTTAAGTTCAGTTAATATAAATTCCTAAATAATGTAATTATTAGAATAATTAATAAGTAAGTATTGTAGTGGGCATATAATTAATAAATTATTATAAAAAAAAAGAAACCTTCTGCCCAGGTGACACGCGAGCATATACCCATGTATTTCTCAACAACTCTCTAACGGATGGTTTGTTTTCATACTGGGACAATGCAGCACCTGTTACGCAAATATCATAATCGCGGAATACAGATCGTTCAATTGGTTCGATAGGATTTACAGGTATCATGATTTTCTCATCAACCGACTTCCAAACAAGTTCTATTTGGTATATTATTTAATACAATGCAAAATAAAAAAAAAAAAAATTTGAAAATAATAATTATATACCATCCGGACTTTTTGCGTCTTCTTGAATATCCAATATCAAAACGTCTCTTTCGATAATTTTCACCTCACGAGCCACATGACAAGCAGTTAAAGGATTGTCACCGGTAATCATTATAACCTAAAATTCGAAAAACAATAAATAAACACATCATATAGTAATAAATTGATGTACTATATAATTAAGCATACTCGATGTGATGATTCGTTTAGCATTTGAAGAGTGGAAACAGCATCGTCCTTCAGTGGACAATGAAAAACGAGGAATCCTGCGAAATTAAGTTCGCTTTCGACATCTTCACGTAGAAGACCATTAATCTAAGTCAATTTACAAATATAAAGGTATGAGATAGATTAACATTTTAACACCACATTCATGCAATATTTATCAATACCTTGTCAATAGTCATGTTATCCTCCAAATACTTATAGCCAAGAGCCAACACACGACTCCCACGTCGAGTGAAAAACTTGAAGGTTTCCTCATAATCATCAGGTACATAAAGGTACATCTGACGAAGAGTTTCGGGAGCACCTTTAACAGCAATAAATGTTTTTTTCCCTCGAGGCGTAGTCACTGTAGATACACTGGACATACGTTTGAGAGCAGAAGAAAATAGGAATCGACGATGTATTTGCAATTGCGATCTCGATTGAAATCTTTGGGATTGTGGAATTACAGTGTCACCTGTTTAGAAAAATAAATAAATAAATAAATACATAAATATTTGATAAAAATGAAATACACGTGATAAACGAAATATACGTTTATTTTTATCAAGCTTCCATTCCAACGCTTCTAATGTTACTTTCTCCATTGGATCACCAACAACAATATCATCATCATCATCTAATCGAGCTAAAGCGTGCGCTGCTGCAAGTGTCTGAATTGTGTCCCGAAGAGCATCTGGAGGTTTCACCAGTTTCTTAGAATCCTCGGGGCTAAAAGTTAAATAACAACGTTAGTCTGATATTTCAAAATTAACTGAACATAATAAAAGGTTTCTTGCACGAATGATCTACATACTGGATACCAGCAACGCCTTCGACCACGAGATTAGCTCTTGTTAAGGTACCAGTTTTGTCGAACGCGCACACATCAACTTTTCCAGCATAAGGAATTCTAAATGGTTCAGTGCAATAAATAGCTAAATATATCATATATTCAGTTAGTTCGTCTGAATAGATTTTGTTCAAAAAATTATCAACATGAGTTATCGTATACTACCAAACTTAGATAATGCAACCAGAGAGGTGTTAACGGCTAAGGAAAGTTCCATGGGCAATTCTGGTGGAACGACTGATGTTATAATTAAAATACAATCAAGTAATAACTTTGATCTCTTGCGATCATTTTCGACACCTAAAAAAAGAGACTAGGTCATAAATCATCTATAAATAATAAAATTCATCGCGCATAAAAACTAACCCTTAACCCAAACATATCCAGCTGCGGAAATAGCGAAGATCAACAAAAATATAATAAAGAAGAAGGATTCAAGATTGTTTGCAGATACATGTCCCGTGCTGTAAACCATTGTACGCACGAGTTTACCCTGCACAGTTCCGAATCCAGTACGGATAACATAAGCAATACATCCATTATCCGGAGGAGCTGTAAAGACAAATTGATAGTTTTAAATTATAATTGGAAATAATAACTCCCTAACAATATCAAATCAGTTAAAAACTAACATAACGTCGTCTCTTCTTTAGAAGGAGGGGTAATTTGAAGAACTTTTGTACCACCAAATAATTGACTATATTTGTTTACAATGCCGCTAGTGTCAATCACATCGTTGCCGTCACGAAGATGTATTGATTCCTTAAAGATCGATATTTTATTAAATTAATAGACATTCATAATCATTGCATATTGATAGAATTTAAATATTAATATCATACCTTCAATGATGGTGTTGATTCTCCAGTTAACATGGCCTCATCAACTATACAAGTACCATTCACAAGAACCATATCACAAGGAACACCATTATCTTCCTTAGAACGTACTACATGTTAAATCAAATAAGTATGCCGTCGAATACAATTATGAAAGCATAAGGTGTCTAATTAAAAGGACCAACCTATAGAAACCAGATCACCAGGCAGTAACTCGTCCGAATTAACGGTCACCCAACGACCTTTTCTCCTTACATGAATTTGAAAAGGTTTGAATGACATTGATCGAAATTCGGCTAGTGTCTTCAATCTCTAAAAAAGATTCAAAAATATTATCTCGTCAAACATACCGATAAAAATCAATATACAAAATTGATTTCCTAAATAAATATCTATATCTATATCTATATATACCTGAAAGACGACAGTTGATTCAAACACTACAAGCATGAATAGCGTAAATAATGAGTAATACCAATATTCATCCATAATCCAGAGACCAACACAAAATAATTGGAAAACAAAGAAAGGAGCAACCGCGTGTTCCTTGAACAATTCTCGAAATGTTGGTACCGGAATATCGAACCTAATAAATAAACATTATTAGTTGCGAAATAAATTATTTAAGATACATTATTATATGATATAGAAGATATTTAAACCTGTTAAACCCATATGTTTCTTGAACTGATTTAATTTCATTTACAGTCTCGAGACCTTTAGCATTCTGAAAAATTGAAACAACAGGATTCTGATCGGCGGGATAACGTAATTTGTTAAACATCTTTTTATCAAAATCCCACACGTATTTTTTCTTTTGGTAAAAAAATGAAATTTCTCCGTCCTTAAATTAAATCAAAAGATATGTTAAGAAGTTGGAAAATAAATCGTCTTATTAAAAAAATTAAATTACGATAAATCATACCCTGTGATGTAGGTCACATAATTCACCTTTCCCTTTATGCAGTGCAGGAATAATTTTGATAACTTGGGCAAACTTGATATCACTTTGCTGTAAAAACATAAAAATGAATTCGAATGAAATATCAGTTATAAAAATAAATAACAATAATTTTATTCATTACGTATAAGGCACTTACCTTTTTACATGTAAAGAAAGCTTTTGCCCGAGTACTCCACTGGCAACTCAGAAATATTAACGCATTCATTGTTATCAAACTCGTAAGTGTCAAAAATGTCCATTCTTCCGATTTGAAATACTCTTCATAAGCATTAAGATATATAGATAGCCATATAACGTATAGAAAGAAAAAAAACCATACGTATCCATGCCAAAACAATGGTTTTCGTGTGTGCAATGAAGATTGCACTATTGATTTTGCATTTACAATGTTCTTGATAGCCCTAAAATAATATCCTTTATTAGAACGTGTATATAACTGAGGAAAGTTAAAGTAAATAAATTAATCCTACATTTTCTATTAATTTTTACGAAACGTTCAAACTTCAATAAATACCAATAATACTATAAAACAAAGAAATAAGTTTATTCTCAGTTATAAAAGAACATGATCTTTTTTTTCAAAAAGTTATAGATCTAAAAATTTTGGGGGTATTTTTTTTTGTTTTTTGGAAATTAATAAACCTGTGAAAAGGATTATAATATGAAGTCGAATTAATTAATGACAAAATTGTGGAATTTTCCTATTGGCTCGATTATAAATTGGGATACAAAAATGATCATCAAATGCGATTTAAACAGACATTTAGTCAACGAGGCAATGAATATATTGTACTTTAATGACGGATAAATATTTTATTGTGTTACATTTTCATAATCAATACCAGATCAAACAAATGGGTTTTCCGCAAGATATCATGACACCTCAATAGTTTTTCTTAAGATCATCATTTAACAAACTAGAATCTAAGATATCTGTATTGGTGAATTGCCGATAAAGTCCCACGGCAGTATCATACAATGATTTGTCTTTTTCGGGATCAAAAGTTGTTGCAATTGATGGATCCTCCCTGCCATGTTAACCATTCGATTAACGTACTATAAAAATTATAAAAATTGACAAAATAATCACAATATTTATACTAACTTGATATAAACATTATCGTCGAATTGTGAAATCGTAACTTGAGCCGAACGTTTCAACCCATCAAAGCCCGAACCAATTAGGTGTCCAGATCGAAACGATGGAACTTCAGCAGAGTATGGTTCGTACCCATAAAATGAAGTTTGTCCTGGTAACTTTGATGGGCGAGGCGTTGGCTTTGAATCAATCGGAGGGGTTGAATCCAACTTCAATGGTTGTGTTTTAGCTTTTTTTACAGGAGTTGTTTGTGCCAAGATTGACATTTGTTTGGTAGAAGAACTAGGAGACCGAATAACATTACTTGAAGTTTCACGATAGGACTGATTTTTTTAAATAAATGGTTAAAAATTAAGATCACGAGAGCTAAACATAGTTTTGACTTGATCAATGAAAAAGTGATAAAATACAGTTAATATGTCCTCAGTAGGAGCCATTTTCTTCCTTCCAACTAGGCCAGTCTTGTTGTACTTTTCTTCCTCTCTAACCTTGTCAGCCACTTTCGAAGAAGTTACAAGTTTAATACGAAGTTTAAAAATACAACTAATATCTTTCCTTGTTTATTACAAAACCTTCAGTTTTGAATGACAACGGGTATGGAGCTGGAACAGATCCTATTCCACTTAAGGACCATGCTGATGTTGGTGGAGTGGATACGGAATTGCCGTGTTTATATCTAGCGTAAAGTGAATCTTGAGACATTTAATAATATTTTTTTTTAATCGTTGTACTAAACAAATGATCTATATACAGTGTATGAGTATATCACCTAATGAAAGAGAAGAGTTTGCGAGATTATTTATTAAGATTTTTCTTCAATGCAGGTTATACATGAAATCACGTGATAATACAATATGTGCGACATTCATAGCGTAATTCACGTCATACGTCATTTAATCTTTCTTTTCGCTTTGAGGGGCCTTGATGCTTGGAAGCTCAAACTCCAAAAGTATACTTTCCAATCTTCCCGAGTGCACACCGCTACTATATTTAGTTGGACGAAGTAATTTCAACCGATCGAATCATTTTTCGTTTTCATTTCTAAATCTTTTTGTGTTAAAAGATGTTTCCGAGCAATCAACTCGCGGAAATAAAAGAGAAAGAGCTCGAATTGTCTTGCCGTTGGATAAATTAAATCTTTAACTTTGTGATCAAAAGAATTCAATGAAGGAAATTGACAGGAAACTAACTCGTGGTCAATACTCATTATAACAATTATATCATCAATTAATGTCAACAAATACATACGTATACCAATTTATCATTAAAAATTTTTTTTTTTTTAAACTTTTTAAATGATATCAAATTCGAAACATGACAATAATCACATTTTTTTATGGAGTGGTGATCACGTGATAATACATTTATGATGTAATTTAGTCCTCCCATAATTGGATGATAAACTGATGAGATTTTCAAAAAAAAAAAACTCTTTCAAACCGTATAATTAATAATAGGGAATTTAATGGATTCATATGAAAATACTAGTTCGATACCAAATTTAAATGAGGATTTTGCAGAGGTTAATTACGACCAGTTAGAGGGATCTCTGACACCCCCTCCCCTGGACCTTTACGGCGTTCTCAACGTTTCTCAAGAGGTATCCAACATCTCTTCTCAAGTAAAATTATAGTTAAACGTGAGAGATTTACATAAATAGGTTATTTTTCAAATAGGCTACTGAAGAAGAAATCAAAGATGCATATAAAAAATTATGTAGAACTTTTCACCCAGATAAGCATGTAAACCCAGAAAATAAGAAAGCCGCAGAAACAAAATTTCAAGTGATTCAAAAAGCTTACGAAGGCAAGTGAAATTCTGAGGTATAATTTACCTTTTAGATTTAAATAGAAATATTAAAGTTTTCAAGCGCATAAATCACGCAAACAACAATATTCTTACATTGTCTTTACTTGTTCAGTCCTTACGGATCCAAATAAGAGAATTGTATATGATATGTTTGGTGAAGAAGGATTAAGTACTTCTTGGGAGGTTGGACCTCGTTTGAAAACTCCACAAGAGGTTGGTATATGCAATAATGTCATTTTTAATCGATTTTATATATAATGGAGCACATATTATCTAACTAACCGAATAGCTTAGAGAAGAATTCGAAAGACAAGCTAGATTAAAAAAGCAACAAGAAGTCGAAAATTTGGTCAATTCAAAGGTATTATTACTATTATTATAATTTTATTATTAATTAAACAAAATTTACTAAATCTCTATTGCGTTTTTAATAGGGTGATATTCAATTAAGCATTGACGCAACGCAGGCATTTGATCCTTATGATCGTCGACGGAATCGTCTCTCCATGAATAACTTTTTTGAAAATACTGAAATAACACAACTTAATATGAAACACTCCTTTGAAGTACGATCATTTTTATTTAGGTTGAATTATTTTTAAACTAGAGCAAATGAACTTATTTATTGTTGATATATAACAGACTCAATTACGACCACAAACCCAAGTAGTGGTAATTGGCCAAACTCTTCTACGTAATGGAATAGGTGGTGGTAATATTGTCGGGACATTGCGGCATTCATTTTCGCCAAAAATTTGGGCCGAAGTATGTTGGAAGTTACCGTGTATTTATTTACTTGTACTTTGTTAATATATATTTCCAACGAGTTGTTGAAATAAGATGGACGCAATCGTCGTATTAGGTCGGATCTTCTATAGTTCAACCTAGAATTATGACCGCAAAGGCTTCATATAGTATTGATGAAAACAGGCATGTATATAACACATAAAGTTCTGATGATATAATTGTAATAATTATATATTCTAACATATATTCATTCCCTTTTGTAAAAAGCTTTATCATTGTTTCGGCTCATACAGGTTCCATTTATTCTCCACCCAATTTGGTTTTTACAGGTGGCCGCGTATTAGGGAAAAACATTACTGGGTATAGAAATATATGTCTATTTATTAGTTTAACCTAATTTTATGACTTAGTACTTTGAATGATTGATTGAACCGTTAGGTATCTTACTTATAAAACTGGGGCATGGTCGTTAGGTCCTTGGAGAGCAAATGAATTGAATTATCGACGCGAAAGGTCAGCAGTTTCTATAAGTATTAATGGTTCCTATGAAAGATCAGGATATAATTTTGAAATACAGGTATGCATGCATCATTAAATATTATTTTTTTAAAAAAAAACATAATTATTAACTTTTTTTTTATTTTATTAATATTAGACTGGAATTGCACAATCCTATATTTCATTACATTATAATCACAAACTTTTTGACGATTATCTAGTCAAAACATCAACTACATTATCGACTACTAGTGGGTTGACATCAATTTTATTAGGTGAACGGAAAATTACTGAAAATACAAAAGCTTCATTGGCAGTTGAATGTGGATTTCCTCATGGAATAACTTTTAAATGCAGGTGAATTATGGTATTCATAATTCATAATTCATAATTAATTTGTCATGTTAATTAATAATATATTCTATATATATTTATATTTTTTAGGTTATCTCGATTAGGACAAAGAATCACTATACCGATTCTTGTCTCACCCGAATTTAATTACAAAATAATTTTTTGGGGAACCGTTCTTCCGATTATAACGATAGCTGCTGTTGAGCAAATCATATTAATACCTATGCGGCAAAGGAAAAAGGCCGAGTTCGTATAATCATTATTAATCATTTAGATAAGATTTATGATAGAAATTAATATTAAGATCTTGTTTATTAATCAAGAAAATTGGCAGCTTTACGGGAGCTTCATGCCGAGCATATAGAAAATCGTAAGAGAGAAGCTGCAGAAGCTATTCGTCTCTTACTACCTTCAGTGGAACGCAAGACAGAGGTGGAGAGGGAAAAGGATGGTCTAGTTATTCTAGAAGCTTGGTACGGCAATGTTTCAAGTTTAAATGGAGAAGGGCTTTTAGAGGAAAAAAGTGACGTTATTGATGTTAAAATACCAGTTCAAGCTCTTGTGCATGAATCACAATTAACTATTCCAGGAAGGTATTCGAAGGTAAGTTTAAATTAAAACTATTCAAAATGTTTTAAAATTATTAGTAAATATTTTATTAAATATTTCGATAGTCCAATATCATGGGGTTTTACGATCCATGTATGGGAGAACGCAAACAATTAAAAATCAGGTACCAATTCCAACGCAAACTTCATGAAGTCACAGTGGATGATACATCTCCTGTTGCGTGCCCTTTAAGATGTAAAGTTTCAATATTTTCTCTCTTTATTATATTATTTATGTTTTTGACGCTTTAAATACTAATTTCATTTTAATCATTTTTTTTTAATAGCTCACGTTATACCATAATAAAATATTTATAGTGCTATTCTTAAACATAATAAGTATTTTTTTTTTTTGAATTAAAAGAAATGATTTTTTTTTAATAAAGTATAATTCACCAAGTTAGAGCTAAGCATCTGTAATACTTGAGCCAATAAATTATATTTCCTAAAAATATATACATGGGTTCTTTTTGAAACTGCGAAAATGGTCCTAAGATAACAAAAGGCATTTAACATATCTCATTCGAACAAGGAAACAAGTTTAGTCTGCGTAAAGAATTTTTATTTTATTGACGCATTAGTCCTACATTATATATTTGATCTTTAAATAATTAAGTACTCTTCACATTAAAGCTAGGAATGATTGATTATTGATTATAAACATCCAAGATGTAGATTTATCAACCGATCACAAATTCACAAAAGGAATTTTATAGTAGTACAATAAAGTTTATTCAATAGCTTCTTGCTTTTCGTTTTTGGGATCATAAAGAATTTCAATGTTCTTACCTATAAGAGACTAAATTTATTATCAATCACTCGGATAGCTTTCAATCACGAACCCTTGGAGAACTTAGTTTGCAAACCCATACATTGTCAATTAGTTAACTTTGTTATAGCGCTCAGAAAAGAACGATATCATGTCAACAGAAATAACCGCACCCACACCTTCTACTACCTTACAGCTTGAAGAAGTTGTAGAGGTGAAAAAACAAACAACAAGTGGTGTTAAATCTTTTCTTGCGGGTGGGTTCGGTGGGGTTACATGTGTTCTTGTTGGTAAGCTCTATTTCCTCTATAAATAAAAACTATCTAATAGGTCATATCTACAATACATATCATATAATGAATATTTTTTTTTTTTTTTAGGTCAACCATTCGATTTGATCAAGGCAAGTCTGTCTAAATTTGATTTATTTACCAAGAAATGTAATTTTAATGAATTCATAAATTTTAATTATTCGTTGTAGGTTCGTTTGCAAACAGCTCCTGAAGGGGCATATACAGGAATGGCTGATGCAACAAGACAAATCCTTGTTAAGGATGGAATACGTGGGTGGGTTAACTATTTTTTTTAGCTTTTATGTATATTCTCTTTAATCGTGCCCATCGAAATAACTTTCACGTGTTCATAGTTTGTACAGGGGTATGGGGCCTCCATTAGTGGGCATCACACCAATTTTCGCAATAAGTTTTTGGGTAAATTTATAAACTTATATTCTTTTTTTATTGATCTCACATTTACCACACGATTAATCGAACATGTTTTGTAGTCTTACAACCTTGGTAAAAAGATCGTCATGTCGGTGAATCCAAATCGCACTTCTTCAGAGCTTAGCATTGGAGAAATTATGATTGCTGGCGGATTGTCGGCAGGACCAACCACATTGATTATGTCACCAGTTGAGCGAGTTAAAGTTTTATTACAAATTCAAGGTCAAGGAGGCGTGAATAAATACAAAGGACCAATGGATGTAGTGAGACAACTTTATAAGGAAGGAGGGTTGAGCAGTATTTATCGTGGAGTTGGAGCTACATTAGCACGGGATGGTCCAGGATCGGCTGTTTATTACGGAGCATATGAGCTTACCAAAAGACTTTTGACGCCCGCAAATGCTTCCCCTGACTCTTTGAACCCTGCAGCCATTTTATTTGCTGGTGGTAACGTATCTCTTCATTAATAATAATAATATTTTTATTGAACAGGACTTCAACTTTTTTTTTTAATCCTTTCCTTAGGTATGGCGGGAGTTGCTATGTGGTCAATTGCGATTCCACCAGACGTTATTAAATCTCGATTACAAACAGCTCCACCTGGTACCTATAAAAATGCTTTTGATTGTTTGCGTAAAACGATTGCGCAGGACGGTACAAAAGCATTGTTCAAAGGTATCGGACCAGCTTTATTTAGAGCTTTTCCGGCTAATGCGGCGACGTTTTTGGGTTATGAAGCTAGTTTAAAGATCATGAATATGCTCTGGTAGAATTAATTAATACAGTATATTATAATAATAATAAAATTACCTTTAAAAAAAATATACATAAATTAAAGAATTATGTCATAAAATCGTCATCAGGTTCAGGGATTACGTTGACAATTGGTTGTAGTACAATAATGATTGTTTGTCCTCCAAAAAAAATTATATATCATGATAAAAAAATAATTTTACTCGTTTGAACTCTCTTTTTTCAATTCCTTTTTTAATTTATTAATTTTCTTTACTTAAATTATTTATCATGGTAAAGTGCACATTTTTTTTTTTTGATATAAATTTATAATTTCGATTTTTTTTTTCAAGGTTCCGCAGATCTAATTCCTTGCTATATATATATATATATAGTATGCAGGTGGTTTTGACGAGATTGGATTAGGATATGGTGTTCCAATGCATCAGCATTTAAATAATAGCTTCTCCGAGATGTATCGATGCTATTCAGTAACTTTGATGCAAGGAAATGAAAGGCAGAATGTTAATTTTGGTGGCAAAAGTAAGAAATAACGTGTAAAG